AAGCGCACTGCTGAGTGCGGCGCTCAATAAGCCGGTCGTGCCGGAGGCAATCATTCTTTAGTCCATGGTTTCATTCATTCAGAAATTCCTGACCAACAACTAGTTTGACTTCACCATATTGGTTATGGGGGATCAAAGGAGGTGGGCGGAGCTCGAATATTGTTGGAGATGTCTAGATTATTGACGAACGAATGTGGTAGATTTGAATACTTGTTGTTAGTTAATTGTAAGTAGCTCCAGCATCAAATGACACAGTTTTAAGCCTTGATCCATCCTTGTTCGGGGTACGCCACGCACTCCACTTTCTTTCATAATAATGATGCCTTCCGTATGCGGTCAATCTACATCATGGCTTGCACTGTCGGCCCGTGAATGCATTTTTGAAGTTGTTCTATTATTATGACTGCTGTTAATGCTGCAGTTTGCGCTCTGAAAGCTTTCATAAGAATACTGACTATGGCCAAAAGGCTTGACCCCAGGCGGGACTCGAACCCGCCCTCCACTTCTTCAGGGTGAGTATGCTATCCGTCCCACCAACGCGGCTTTTAACCCCTCACGTATGCGCTCCCACACAAATGTGGCACTAATTTCTCGCCTCCAGCGAGATGGAAAATTTGATTGGGTAGAGTAAAAGCCGATCTAAGATTTGAACCATGAAGCACTCGTGTGGCACACAAGTGGTGTCATTTGCCACGGCATTTCCAGTAGAAAATGGTGCTGTGATGAACACTGGCTGACTACCATCCAATTACTGATTACATTACTTTCCGGTATCGCTTTACTGAGGCGGCCGGCATCAACCAAGGAGTAGCAGTGTTTTTCTATCAATTCCTTGCCAATCAAGGTGATTGTGTAACCGTATGTGACGTGAACGCAACATGTCAAGGGTATGTCTTTAATAGGTAGAACTGTTTAAAAATTTGTCCCTAATTAGCCAGGTTTTTACAGTTTATGTGGGGACGCGATGGACCACGTGAAAATGAAGAAAGCCCTGGTCGTCAACTCGACAGCGACAATAACGATGCAGTCGATATCTAAACCCGATGGCTACTATCATTCTGGAATTTATTTCAAAACAGTTTTGTTTGGTAATTGGTTCTTTTTACTCATGGGTACTGGGCACAGGGTACAGGTACAGGTTACCAGAAATAAGGAAAATGTATAGAAAAAAGCAAAAGAATAAGGACAAAATGAACGGCAAAAGAATATACGAGCAAAATGAAGGAACCTAATGCCAGTACAGCCTACAAATTATTTGGAATAGACCATCGTTTCAGTTGATGGGCCCTTGTTGACGAGTAAGAAAAAAAAAAGGAATTTGCAGCTGAATACCATCGAAATTGATCGACTGGTCCAGGGCAGATTGGTCACCGAGGAGAGGGCGGGATGCTTGGAACAGCAGGAGATTTGATAGTTGCCCCGTGGCGACATACAGCAGGAAATGCAGCCGCTGTTGCGCCAAAATTCACTGCCCCTCAGCGCCCCGACTGGTCGCTATGATAAGGACTGGACATCCTTGGAATGATGATGTCAGTACAAGCGACATAAAAAAGCGATCCAAAAACCCGTCCAGTAGATTTCAATTCCTGTACCCTGGATGTCGGGTTCGTTAGTGTCCCACTGCGTAGTTAATGATTGGAGAGCAATTTGAGTTTCTCTCAGATTCTCAAGAAATACTTGTTAGCCGAAAATATTTGATGTTGAATCAATTACTTGCAGATCTCAACAAGAGAGCTTACTTCCAATGTAATTCAACTGTTCAACTCGAAAACGATGTTCCATTCTTCCTGGTTTCCCAGAATTATCCCTATTCACCGTTCGATTACTCCTATTGTACCATAACATTCAACAGTGCAAATGCGATCCGGGCAGCCATTTACGACTTGGTCACTGTAGGCCCGGTAACCTTCGAAGGGCCGGACTTATTGGGAGGAACAGCAAAAATTTCGCTCAGGTTAGTCTTGTGAATGTTACTTCAGCGCTTACTATTCAATTATTCGAAATAGGAATGGAGTATGCTGGAGATGTCTTGAAATCTGATGCGGATCGCTACTGCTACACGCCTTTAGCTGCCGTTATACTATTAGGTTGTTCGAAAAGTCCTGCG